ACCATCAGCTGCTCTCATCACGTTAATGCAATATCCTCTCAAATTGTACTAAAAATATGAATTATTTAAATTTGTTTCTGTTTTCTGCAACACTGAGTGTTCTGTCTGGTACTGAGTTAAGCAGCCCCTTCTTTTCATATATCTGGTTAAATTTTTACTAGCTACTCATTTCACTATCTATTGATTTTTATAAATGATGACCTGAGCCTAAATCCTAGAGCTTACTTCCTGTGACCTTGAGTTCTCTAAGCCCACGATTCCTTAGTTTTAAAAGGTAACAGTATCTTCCTCAAATTGCTGATGAAATTTAAAAGAGATAATAGTACAAAAGCAGCTGACTTATGGTAGCCATTCAGAAAATTTAGTTCTCTGTCTTTTATTCCTATTTCTGATTATCATAGACTGGGTTAACTACCTAGCAAGTCAGAAATTACTAAATTATGAACAAATCTATTTTCCATCTTTGTCTTCTGCCAAGAACTGTATTAGCCACACATCTCATTGCATATTTATGAGATGATTCAAATATTTTATGTATCTAACAGATAAGTGATAAATGTCTGCATTTCTAAATATTTTTCCACTTATGAAAATGAAAATCTAATCAATACTTGTAATCTATATCAAAAATTATTTTAAAAACCACTTTGAAGATAAAGTAATAGATGAATTCTTGATACAGCTGTATTTTCACATTACTTTTGTCCTGGGCACAATGTTGAACCACGCTGTTGGACTCTTTTGAAATCAGTTATGGCCAAATGACCAAGTTCAGGTCAAAAAAATGTGAATGGAAGTGATGTACATCACTTACAGGCCTAACGAATAAAAGACTCATACTCCAGTCATTCCAATTAATTGTTTTCTTTGCACATTCCATTTTTTGGTGTCCTCAAAACCCTAAGAAAGTAGAGCCACGGTCAGAAGGAGCCTAAGTTATTGAATCTCCATGTATAGGTATCTCCATGTATAGGAGAGCAACCTGTTAATCAGAAACACCAATTTTGAATTCACTTCAGTGAGAAAATAAACTTCTGTGTATTCAACTCACATTTTGGGACTAAACTATTATAACAACCAGAATTATCCAAATACACTCACTAAAGTACACAATTTCTTCATATTACGATAAAAAATATAGGTGATTGGAAAACACAGTTATGTTACAGATATAGTAATACCTTGGTTTGCAAGCATAATTTGTTCCAGAAACAAACTACTCATATTGCAAGACATCGCTCATTCACGTTAAAATGTATTAGAAATGTTTGCTCGTCTTGCGGAAGACTCACAAATCACGTCACTTGCAATCCAAGGTTTTACTGTATAGGGTTTTGAAGTGTCTTCCAACTGCATGTGGCCAAAATTGGTTTTGTGCCTTCTGAAGTCAGTAAGACCTTTCAACATTTTTAAAGTCAATCAATCATTCTTTAGTGGCACAGAGCCCACTTCCTATTTGTAGCATAGAGCTCAATTATCTACTTCTACCATTTTTAGATTCTCTCTCTCCCCCCCAAAACACTACTTCTTTTGAACAGCTTTTGACATGCTCCACACATCTTTGTACAAAGAGCTATAAAGAAAATTTTATTTAATAAAAACTAAGAAATAATGTAGATGGCCAGAACAGATAATACATTTGCTGATTCTAAGCCACACTATATCTCACACATCAGCACAAAACTTACTATAAGGCTATATTTCACAATGAATGTCAAAGAAAACTGCTAGGGGCTGGCCAAGTGGCTCAGTTGGTTAAGAGCTGTAGCAGTGCGAGCTCTGAGCAACAGGGTTGCCGGTTCGATTCCCGGCCCAAGCTGAGCTGCCAACAGGTGGCAGGATGGCTCAGCTAAAAAACAAACAAACAAAAAACCCTGCCAGCTCTCAGGAACAAGTGTGAGTTTTGTCTGTAATTATCTCTGCCTCCTCAATATGACAACTATGTAAGACCAAGGAGTTTGTTTGTCTGACTATCACCTCAGATGACTTACTGGCATTGGCTATAATACTCCATTGAATTTTATCTGAAATTCTAATCCTTAGTTATTGCTTATCATGTCTTCAAACAGTTTATAGTATGATCCAGAAATGAAACTAAAAATTGATCCGATACACTAGGTAATGTAAACTGCATGGCTAAAGAAATGCTGTACTCAATTCAATGTTTTCTTTCTAACTTTCATGTACTGTTTTTCCGGTCCTTCTGTTTTGATCATTAAATTAATGGTGCATCTTAAAGTCAACAACATCATAGAATATAGGAAATATCATAGCTAAATCAATGTACTTATTCATTTTAAATAATCATCAAAAGGTAAGTTACTAATAAAGCAGAAAGAGAAAACTATATGAAAAAGAATAGGATGAAACTAACCCCTCATCTAACTAGTTATCAAAACTGTCTATGAAGAGATTAAATTTCAAAGATTTGGATAATCTTTGGAAAGAAAAAGAAAATGAAAAAAGGTATTTCTGGTATGCTGTTCTGGGGGAAAGTGAATGGAATTGAAGGCAAGTTCATTAATTGGTTAGCCAAGTGGAAATAGAGCAACTGGAGGTGAATCCTACCACTTCATAGTTCAACTTCTTCCATATCTCTTATAATATTTACTCAGTCCCAGGAGCAAAGGAGAGGATCAAGTCAACTTTACAGAGTGTCTTATTAAAATGCAAAGCTCTATGTAAAGAGGTGCTGTAGGAAGATAGAATAATGAAACATCAAGATCCCAATCTTCCAGTACCTAAATTTAATAGAAGTTGTAAAACATGTATGTCAGAGCTAAAATATAATGCAAACAGCAATTAATATTAAGGGGGGTATAAATAAAATTTGATACACACACAAAGGGAACAAAAATTATGTTCAGTAAGGAGAAATGGGGAAACAATAGAAAAGATGGAATTTGAGCTAGACACTGAAGGACTGAAGGTGGAAGAGTGTAGGATGGAGACTGGACAAAAATATAGCAAGACTGAAAGATTTAAGTATGAATCTCATTCTAAAAAATTTCAATTTCACTCCAGAGAATGGAAAACTACTGAGTTTTTTAATGGCATAATATATTAACTGGAATTGTTCTCTTAAGATTTCTTACAACATCTGTAAAATAAGTGGGTTGGAATGGCTGAATGAAAATGTTTATATGTGTGGGGAGTGGACACCAGATAAAGTCAATATATTTAGGACGATATAATAATCTAGGCAAAAGAGTCTGAAATAGGGTTAAAGCCTCTAGAAACTAGGAGAAAGGAGTCAAATATGAGTTTCATTATGGGTTCAAATAAACAAGGTTTGCCAACTGGTCAAAACTTGGGAAGAGGTTTTCATTTAGCTTTTTTCTTAAATAAAATTAATGTATATACTTAAAATTTAAATAGTAGAGTCACATTAAATGAAAAAATGTTCCTGCCTTATTCTCAGTCCTTCAATGTAATAATATTTAATCATTTCTATTTTTATTTCTTCAATTGGTTACTACAATAATTCTAAATAATGTATTAGTGCTATGTAGATACTATAAAGAATTTACTCTCTTGATCACATACACAAAGAGAAAAGAATTCAGTTCATTGTGTATAACATTTAATAGCTAAAAACTAAAAACAACTTAAATGTTCATCAACTAAAAAGTGGACAAATATATAGCATAAATACTAAAATAAAAGAACTAATTGTATATACATCAATATAGATGAATGTAAAAAAATGTAAACTGAAAAAAGCAATTGCACTAGGAAAGTTATATTTGTATTAACATTCAACAGATGATGAAAATACTCTATATATTGCAAATTAATACATATTATAAAAGTATAAAGACATATGCACAAGTGTAAAAAACAAATTCAAGAGGGAAAAACCGGGAATGTATCAGTTATGTTTCATTTCTTAAAAAATAAAAAGCCCTGAAGCATACATAGATGTGACACACTTATGTTTTATTTTTCTAATTCCCTTTTAAATGGAAACTTTTCACTTTTTTTTTTAGAAGAAAAAAGCTTATATTAAATACTGAATGTATTAAAAGTACTGTTCTGTAATCTACTAAGTAATTCTTTTGAATACCACTTCAGAGAAAGCTAGTTCTTTCTGGCACTATTTATCACCCTACTGACCTCTGCTGGTCCAACAATGGAGAGGATACTGCAGTTGTCTTCCTGTCCTTCTTGCTAGTTGAAGATGACAATTTAGGGCTTGATTTTCGCTTTGGAGATTTGCTAGACTTTCTTAGAGAAGGAGATGGAGACAATTTTGATCTAATCACTTCTGGTGAAACCTTTCAAAAGAATTCAATAAGTCAATTCTGAAACTCCTCCAAACGTGGCTGTTTTAATCAGGCAACAAAGCATGTGCGCATGTCTTTTTAAATCATACCAAACTTCAGATGAAATATTAACTGTTATCATAGTCATATATTGATATTAGTCTGACTTCTGAACCTGTGCTTTTAACCAATATGCTAGTTAACTGCTCTAAATAACACTAATACCAATAAAATGAACTAGTTATGAAATTTCAAAATCTCAAAAAATCACAAATTACATTCAAATAAATTATCTCTCTCTACTCTTTAGAAAAACAAGTATTCTAGTAATAGCATGGCTCTAAAAACAGACATATGTAGATTCAAATCCCAATTTACATTAGCTGGTGACTCTAGGCAACAGACCCTGAGTTTTGTTACCTGTTCAATAGGAAAAAATTTCCCGTATCTAGTAATGTGAAGATTAAACGATTAACATATATAAAGTGATTGAGGTATAGCAACTTGACCAGTGTATCAGTATCCTAATACAATTTCAGATGTAGCAAGCAGCTAGCTAATGAGTTCTCTGATCAATATCCATATTGATGTTAATTAACAATAGCATACCTCTTTTTTAATAATAATTTCTTCTCTCTTCTCCATGTTTTCTTGTTCCAGTTTCATTAATTCCCTCTGTATCTTCTGACGCTTCATTTCCAATGACAATTCATGAACATAATCATAATTAATATCTCCATTGTCAGAATCTTTAAAATAAAAATTTCATTGCTTGTCAGAAACTATTATAATTACCTATACCAAAAACTAGAGAATCTTTTCAGCTAACTTTTATATAAATTAAAATGGTAGTCTTTTATTAGACTAACATACTTCTAAAAGTATCAGATAAAAAATAAAAACAAAAACACATATTGTTTTTATAAAGGATTAAAATCAATATGACTGATTTCTTTATGAAAAGCCAAACATTTTTAAGGTTCCTGGGTTTTCTAGGAGTGATTTGGGGTTGTTGGGTGTAGGGTTTTTAGTTAGGAGATGAATTTTTAAAAGATAAAATTAAAGGCCGGTTATTAATTCTAAGCATTAAAGATACCAAAGCCTTCAATATTATATGACGCATATAATATGAATCATCACCTCTTGATTTTCTTAAACATTCATTAGTATCAAATAAAGGTTACACTAGGTGTGCAACATTGCTTCCATAGTTTTGTTTTTATTAGTGATATAAGTGGTTTGTATCTAAAGTTAAGCAATTTTAATACTAATATGTACATGAGCAATTTTTGAAGGATCTGCAACATTTTCATTACAATTGATTTGTACTAGTCCCTTAAATTAGAACTGTTCATCTCCTCAGTGGATGTGATACCATGCCTCTATTTCATCTTTTCCAATGACAAGAAAGTGAAAGTTGGTTAAAGAAAAAAAAAATGAATGAATGAAAGGTGTGCAGGACTATTTTATTATAACACATGGAAGTTTTCAGTGGCTACTAGTAATGCCACCCAATATCTCACACCCTCATTTGCTATAAATGCCAAGAAGCCTGGGGGTGGGAATTTCACTGACTTCTAACACCTGACCATGTTGGACTTGACCTATTATAAACCGAGGTGCTTTCTCAAACTATACTTTTAGCATTTAAGATCACCATTTCTTAACTTGAAGTAAAGAAATACAACGAAGGACTAAAAAACAACAAAGATAAGTAGTCCTATTTGCTAAAAGCACAAGAAAACGGACATCACTGTCATGTATAGGTAAAATACATTAGAACATCAACTATCCATTCACGCTTGGGGACTGAAAGGGTAGACACATATATATTTCTTATGTGTGTGACTAAACTTGATTACTCATCTAATATTGGAATATGATGACTATTTCTCAGTACATATATAAACTAGACTAACTCACGCTTTTCAATCAGAAAGCAATTATTAAAGGGCATATAGCTTTTACTAGATAAAATAGCTAGAGATACTGAATTTAATTAATGAATAATGGCTATCTCTAATTACTACTTTACACCCCAGTAAACATTTACATTAGTAAATAATAGGGCTCAAAGACAGTTTGATTGTGTTCTTAAATTATTAACAGATGGATGCAATTCCATAAACAAATACTAAAGGTAAAATAAAGAGTAATTAATTGAGAAGAATGATTTACAGTACATTTAAAGATATTATCAATAATTCTCTGCCCATCAAAAAACTGCTATCTGGAAATATCACTAATACAGAATACATACAAGAAATGAGAAACTGGTTTTCAGATTTCAATCCCCAACCACCCGAAGAAGGGGGCAGGGCTGAGCAGTTAAAATGTACTTCAGGAGGCCAGCCAAGTGGCTCAGTTGGTTAAGAGCTCGCTCAAGAGTTTGAGCTCTGAGCAACAGCGGTTCGTCGAGTCCTGGCCCGAGCTGAGCAGCTGCTGAGCTGCCAACAGGTGGCAGGATGGCTCAGTTAAAAAAAAAAAAAATGTACATCAAAGTCAATGTACAGCAGCTAATATATTCTGCTTAGAGGAAATGCTCTCAAGTATTTACTCAGAAACTACTTGTTATTATTTTATGTATATCTCAAAAGAAACATGTTTACCTAATCTATAAGGGATAGGTAACAAAGTAGGCGCACTGCAAGTAACTTTCCCGACCAAAAACAAAAAATCAGAGTGAAAACACAGGATGTAACTCAAAAACTAGATACTGAAACCATTTAATAAATTTTAAAAAGTCTTTCATGTATCTTACAGCTTGAGGCTATCATTACAATTGCCTTATAAAAACTCGTTCACATACATGATTCTAAATCATCAGAAAATTAACTATAATTAGAATGGCAAATTTAAGACAGTAAAGATTTTTAATACTATGTAACAAAATATCATGCAATACATAAAAAAGGTTGACATTTTTTACATATAAAAATTCTTACTCATTAAAAAGAAGAATGGACAAAGGACATAAATAGGCAACCAACAAAGAGAAAAATGCAAATGGTAAATATGACATTTTCATGAATTAAAGAGCCATTTTTTTCTGACATGCTGTTTAGCAATTCATTTATTTATTTTTTCCATCCTTCCATTTTATTACTTCAGGTTGATAGTGAACCATAAGCAATACAAACAACTTCCCTATTTTAGGCATCGTTTATTTTTATTTATTTTAAAAATATATTTTATTTTTCAATTACACTTGTCATACAATATTATATCAGTTTCAGGAGTACAACATAGTGATTAGACATTTATATACCTTAAGTGATCACCACAGTAAATGTAGTATACATCTGACACCATACAGTTATTACAAGATAATTGACTATATTCCTTAAGCTACACTTTACATCCCCATGACTATTTTGTAACTACCAATTTGTACTTCTTAATCCCTTCTCCTTATTCATTCCCTTTCCATCCTGCAACTATCAAAATGTTCTCTTGTTATAGCTTTTGTTTCAAGTCTATTTTGTCTGTCATAAGCACTGCTACCTCAACTTTTCTGTTCATTTCCATTTTCATCCCTTTACTTTTAGTATGTGCGTGTTTTTCAACCTGATGTGAGTCTCTTGTAGGCAGGATATATAAGGATCTTGTTTTCTTATCCATTCAGCCACCGTGTCTTTTTTTTTTTTAAGATTTTTATTGGGGAATTGGGGGATGGGAACAGTGCTGGGAAATTGGGGAAAGGGGAACAGACAAGTTGCTGTCCTTTTGTTTTTCAGTCTAGTTGTGGAGGACGCTGCTTCACTGGCCCAAGTTGGCACCATCATTGCGCTCTTCCTGGGTGAGGCAGATCAGTCACCGGCTTCTGGACAACCGCTCACTGCGGCTGCTGGCTGCTCACGCTGGCTGCTGGCTACACACGGTAGCCCATGGCAACCCACTGCCACAGGGGCCGCAGCCTCGCCGTCGCCGGCGACTCATGGCAGCCAAGCTCCAGGTTGAGTTGTTGTTCAGCATCTTAGCTGTAGAGGGCAGTGTCACTGGCCCTCATATGTGGGATCCAAACCAGGGCCCTCTGGTGTCCCAAGCCAGCTCTTAACCATCGCGCCACTCGGCCGGCCCTACTCCACCATTTTAAATGGAAGGCTTAAAGAGCCATGTTTTTTTTCCTAACTGTAATATTAGGCAAAGATACATATAAAAGGCATGTTCATTCTATGCTGGTAGCAATGTAAATGTGGCCATATGGGTTAAAGCCTTAAGAATCTTCATACCCTTTAATGTAACAATTTTACTTCTAGTAATACTATATGCAAACAATCATACATACATAAAATACATGTATAAGGATTAAGTACTTCCTTTTATCTTTAATGTATACATTCTCACTATTAAAGTCTTAAATAATTCTTAAGTACACACAGTAAAAATATGAAATTCCTTTATGCTCTTCCCACTGCCATCCTTACTCCTGTGATTACACTGTTAATAGTTTAGTTTTATAAGCACAAAACTAAGTCTTTATATTAATACTCATTAAAACTATGGGAGTAATACCATACAAACTGCCCTATTGAAAGGTCTTTCCATGTCATAGAGATCAACCACCTTCATTTTAAGATCTGCAAAGAATTTCATGATATGAGCATATCATAATTTATTTAACCAGTTTCCTTCTGACAAACAATACAGGTACAGTAATACCTTGGTTTGCGAGCATAATTCTTTCCGGAAACAAACTACTCATATTGCAAGATGTCACCGTTTACCACATTAAAATGTATTAGAAATGCTTGTCTTGTGGAACACTCGCAAACCAAGTTACTTGCAACTAAAGGTTTTACTGTATTTCGATGTTATAAAAAAAGACTTCAGTGAACATTTTGATATATACCTTGGTTCACAAGTGCAAGTATTTCCTTAAGACAGATTTCTCAAACTAGATTTGCTGGGTTGAGGATAAGTATAATTTTTATTTTTAATATGCCTGATTGCACTCCCAGTTTTAAATGTAAACTCCCACTTAACAATATCAGTATTTTTCAATTCTGCTAATCTGATGGGTAAAAATGTCATTTCTTTATTTCCTTTGCCATTTTACTGTAGTAAGCCTGACCACTTACTAGCCATTTCTATTTCCTCTAAAATTATATATCCTTGGGCCGGCCGAGTGCGTGTTGGTTAAGAGCTGGATTGGGATTCCAGAGAGCCCCGATTCGGATCCACATGAGGGCCAGTGATACTGCCCTCTACAGCTAAGATGCTGAACAATAGTTCAACCTGAAGCTGAGTTGCTGTGAGTCACCGGCGACGGCGTAGGCTGCAGCCCCTGCTGCAGTGGGTTACCATGGGCTACTGTGTGTAGCCAGCAGCCAGCGTGAGCAGCCAGCAGCCGCTGTGAGCGGCCGTCTAGAAGCCGGCGACTGATTTGTCTCACCCAGGAAGAGCGCAAATGATGGTGCCAACTTGGGCCAGTGAAGCAGCGTCCTCCACAACTAGACTGAAGAACAAAAGGACAGCAACTTGTCTGTTCCCCCTTCCCCCAATTCCCCCAGCAATGTTCCCATCCCCCCATTCCCCAATAAAAATCTTTAAAAAAAAACGAACAAAAAAACCCAAAAACAATTATATATCCAATTTTTGGGTATTTTTGCCCATTTTTCAACTGAGCTATCTTTTACTTATATATGTGTAGAAGCTCATTACATGTTTATATAGTGTTTTCATATACGCTTACACATGTTACACATGTCATGTATTTTCTTATAGTGATCTATTTTAAATTTGTATTTAGTTATACAGAAAATTTTAATCTTTATGTAATTAAATCATTTATGGCTTCTGAGTTTTATGCCTTATATTATTAGTAGGATGTATATACCTCCAAGATTACTAAGATATGTTCATACATTTTCTCTGTTACTGCAATGATACTTTTGCTTTTTATTTTACTGCATTGGTCTTTATGGTAAACAAAGAAAAGAAGTTTAAGAAACCAGATAAAAAACACAGACTTGGGGTAGAAGGCTAGAAATATAGGCAGCAATCAGAAAATGAAAAGTTTTATAGGTACAATAAGAATTTGTACTTGATCTTAAAGGCAACGGGAAATCAGACAATTTTAAACGGGGGAATGAAATGAACCAATTTTTTCTTTTAAAAGCTCACTTCACACTGCAGATTATACAATGATCAATAAATGTCCATTTATTCATTAGTCATTAGGGAAACATGCACTAAAACCACAATAAGATACCACTACATAACCTCCAGATTGGCTAAGATGAAAAAGGCAAAAAGTGCCATGTGGGTAATGACAACTATTTTTGATTCGATATTATCTACTAAAGGTGAACATGTGCAAACACCACGCCCCAACAATCCTACTCCTAGGTATAAACTCAAAAGAAACGGGTACAATTACCAAAAGATATGATTAAGAATAGTAATAGCACCTTATTAATAATAGCCCCAAACTGAAAATTACTCAAATGTTTGTCAATAGAATGGATAAATTATGGTGTATTCATACAGTGAAACACTATATAACAATAAAAATTAATGAACTACAAACTGTGCACTAAACAATATGGTTTAATATCACAAACATACTGTAAACAAAAGAAACTAAACAAAAAATACATGCTGTAGATTCCATTTATATGGAGCTCAAAAACAGACAAAACTAATTAATGGTGGTCGAAATCAAGATAGTACTTTTGAGAGGTAGGGGTTGGAAGTAGTGACTAGAAAGGAACATAAGGGGGCTTATGGGATACTAGTAATTTTCTATTTACTGATTTGGGTGCTGGTTATACAAACTTGTTCTGTTTGTAAAAATTCAATGTACACATGATTCGTGTCTCACAAATGCACAGTATTATATTTTAGTAAAAAATATTTTTTTAAAAATTATTCTGGCCTTCAAGTGAACAACGAATTAGGAGATGGCTAACCTCAAGGCATATCGTTATTTTTGGTAAACTGTATTTATAGGCAATAAACAATCATCTCAAGAACTAGAATATTAGTAGTAATTTTAGAGAAACAGATGGTTCTGAAAGACATTCAGTAGGTAGAAAAGTCAGAACTCTACAAGTTCTGGATTGAGGGGAAGGAGTATCAACAATAACTGAAGCTTTTGCGCACCTAGTAGGAAAGTGGTGCTCTTAAGATATAGAACTCAGATGGAAAAATCGAGTTGGAAGATGCCTCAGTTGAGAGCTCCACATACTGAGGTCATTAATATATAGATGTTAATGATTTTATCTGGAAGGAAAAGTTCAAAATGAGAAAAGAAGGCTTAGCAAAGGGAGAACAACCAAAGTCTTAGATGCCACTTCTAGAGACAAGTGGTTCTCAAGAGTGGTCTGAGGACTCCTGGGGGCCCCTGAGACAATTTTAGGAATCCCAGGAGATACAAAGTATTTTTATAATACTATATTATTTGCCTGGTTAACTCATTCTCCCATGGGTTTTTCCAGAAGTCACATGGTATGTGATACCATTAACAGGCTGAAGGCAGAGGCAGATATGAAAATCTAGGTGTCTTCTATTAAGTGAGACATTAAAAAGATTTGCAAATACTTATAAAACACTGTCACCTCTCACAATTTTTATTTTTGCTTTTCAAAGCATAGTTATTTTCCATAAAAGTATATGTTAGGTTTATTATTGTCATTGTTCAATGAATTAATAAATAATTTAAATTTTTCCAGATTGAATTTCTAATATGGTAATTATTGCGACATATAATCCACAAAGACCAAAGCTCTTTGGGGTCCTTAAAAAGAGTGAGAAGACCAAAAAGTTTTGAGATATACTAGTACAGACCAATTTCTTCTATGTATAGTTAAAACTGCTATTCACTTTGAACCGCTATTTAGATTACAAATACAGAAGGTAAGTCTATGAAACCAGTTCAGTGTAACTATCTGGGGATAGAGGTAACTGTCTAACTCCATGCATCAATATTGTTTCAAACAGATATGTTTAAACCACAGAGATACACAATGATCAAAACTTGTCAGTTTTAATCAACAGAAAACAAATAGCCATGTGATATAAGTAAAACCATTATAAGACATTTACTCAGCTTTCAAAAGAATTTCATATATGAAAGGCTCTTGTAGTAAAAATCACTTTGGAGATGCTAGTCTAGCATAAAGCCTTGGCAATCAACACTTAAAGAACATCACACAAGCAGTTTCTATATTAGACCAAAGGGCTTGAACAGAAAGACAGAAAACCTGAAGAGTGATAGATGGAAGCCAAACGGAAAAGTATTTCAAGAAAATACAGGCTCTCAGATGTGTCATATGCTGTAGAAAGGTTACAGAAGAAGGAGACAAGGTCTCCATTTATTTAGCAAAGGGAGTTATCAGGGAACTTGAAGAGCAGTTTTAGTGAAGACTGAATATGTATGAGGTGAAAAAGTAGAGATAGTAAGGTACAGAACTCTTAAGAATTTACTTGTAAAAGTGGGGACAAGCAGTGAGATGGCAAAAAGTAACATGGGGAGAAGTAAAAATGTATCAAGATGGATATTAAAGATATAAAAGAGCATGTATAATAAATGAACAAGATTGCAAAGGTGGGAGAAAATCAGATCCAGACTATAGGGGAATATAACTTCAGATACAGCAGGAGGGGGACCTCTTATACAGATTGAAAAGGGAATAAACAGTGTGAATAAAAAACTAGTTTGTAGGTGAAGTTGAGGGACTTTGTGGATGAAGACTGCTATCAACTCTATAGTAAATAGCAGGCAAGACAAATGAAGAGATTGAAGATTTAAGGAGAGGTTTTGAAAAAGCTACTATGAAGACAAGGCGAAAACTGATGCTTTTCTGAACCTTTTGAATTTTCAACAATAAGCATGCATTATTTTACTGGGAAAGAAGAAATTTTTATTTTTAAAGACGGGAAGTATCCAATACATTTCAGAATGTTTTTTTATTCAAAAATAATTAAAATGAAAAGAATGTTGGGTACGTTAAGATTAACCTCTTACTATTTAGGAAAAGTTAGCTATCCAATCTTGAACAGTCAAGGTTTGTAATCTTTATATTAACTAATTAATCAATTACAGTGGACCATTACAGCTGCCTTTACTGGTATTTTGTAAGAGGTATTAGACTGGCTTATGAGATTCCAATGAACTAACCATAGGGGAGTTTCCTATTTGTTCTTAGAAGCAACTTTTCAACAGACAACACTGTCCAAAGATGTAATGGATTTCCTTAAAAAGTACTGATGTTCAAATTATTGGAGAGGCATTTAGGGTGTGATTCAAGTACTGGCCTATAAGTTTTCAGAGAATGTTCCTAAATATATTAGTAAATATTTTAGGCTTGTAGGCTCTTGGCTGTCACAGTAATTAACTCATCTACAATAGCTCAAAAGCAGCCACAGAAAATAGGTAATCAAGTGTGCACAGCTGTGTTCTAATAAAACTTTATTTGCAAAAACAGGTGGCTGGCCCACAAGCTATAATTTGATAAACACTTGGTCTCAGATTTATGCTTACTGCTGGAAGTTGCTTAAATCCTTAAACTGTAGTTTTGTCATATATAAGTAGAGTAGCAGCAAAACTACTAGGAATTAATGAGTAATTATATAAATATTAATACAGCACACCCAACATGTTCAACAAATTTGAGTTCCCTTTCTCTATTTTTGGTAGTGTAAGGCTATAGTGCTCAGCTTCAAGGTGATAGAGGTGGAGAACAGAGAACGTTCACTATGTAAAAAATAAATGCTTATTTGTTAAGATAATGATTCAAAAATGAGTTTGCTAATTTTTCATAAACAAATTCCAGGTCTCAATTATCATCTGATTTGGATTTCTTCTGAAAGATGAAAGTCAACAATTTCTTGGAAATAATTTTCCCAAGTCCTTAAAATTTTAAATCTTACTTATTTTCTGCCTTTGTTCTGCTACTATATGCCATTTTCTGTTTTATAACTCAATAAGGTAAAAGAAACAAGTCAATAACAGATCACAGCTGAAAAATGTTTTGAAACCCACAAAAAGTCTGCAAAATGAATAATCAATAAATTGACCACATAAATGAAGGTTTTTTTTGAAACTCACCATCTCTATTAGTTTCCCATTCTACATTTTCTTCTTCACTTTCTGGAGTTCTCTCCTTAGTGATTTTTATGTCTTCCTTTTCCCTATGTCTCCCTCTTGATGATTCTTTCTAAAAAATACATACATACATACAAATTATATTTTTTTAAATTATGAGATTATTGTAATACAAAATATTTCTAACTTCATTCAACTGTGTTGTTATGAAACATTCAATTGTTTCATTAAAGAATCAATTTTGCAAATAACCACTTATCCACTAAGTAGGGGAAATGACAAGTTGTAGTGTAGCACCACAGTAAACAGACCAAACTACATCTATTTTACTAGAAATCAGCGATCTGGTAAATGTAAAAAGTAACTAAGATTTTAAAATGTATATGATACAAATCTAACACTTCAATAAGAATTTAATAGTATATTATGCACTAAGTTTCTATGTGAAAATCACAGGGGAAGAGTTTAAAATGGATAAAATACAAAAGGGTTTGTCAGTGACTATATTAAAAAATTACTTAAAAAGGGCTCCACTGTCAGAGTAGACTCAAAAATAACTGCTGATCTAAGAGTTGTCATACATGGATATAATAACATTTTCTACACACCTAAAGATAAATCCAAACTCAATAATTTTACAAATGCCTTCAAAAAAGAGACTTTCCCTCCTCTGATGAAACCAAAATGGTAGCTAAAATAGTTAGAAATTGCTGCTTGTATTACACCTAAAAAACAGGTTTTACACATCATTCCAGGTGAAACTGCAGCCTGTAGACAAAACAGGACAACAGTATTTCAGCTTATAAAATTTAATTAACTATCTCACTAAATAACAGAAAGACTCCACACCACATTTTACTAAGTGGTAAGAAAATAAAGTAACCACTGTCATATGATTGTTATCTTTTATTAAAACTTTAAATTCTGACTATGAAAGGTACTAACACACAAGGACAATAAGTGCTAAGAGTTCTTTATGGGCATTACCATACATAAAATTTGGCTGCTTAAAACACAAATTAATTTCTCTTTAAAATGTTCTTTTAAAAAAAATAGTATATAACTCCCTTTAAAGTTTAGGTATGGGGCCGTCCGAGTGGCGCGTTGGTTAAGAGCTGGCTTGGGATGCCAGAGGGCCCCCGTTCGGATCCCACATATGAGGGCCAGTGACACTGCCCTCTACAGCTAAGATGCTGAACAACAGCTCAACCTGGAGGCATAGGCTGCAGCCCCTGTGGCAGTGGGTTGCCATGGGCTACCATGTGTAGCCAGCAGCCAGCGTGAGCGGCCCTGAAGCCGCTGTGAGTGGCCGTCCAGAAGCCTGCAACTGATGTGCCTCGCCTGGGAAGAGTGTAATGATGGTGCCAACTTGAGCCAGTGAAGCAATGTCCTTCACAGCTAGACTGAAGAACAAAATGACAGCAACTTGTCTGTTCCCCTTCCCCCAATTCCCAAATAAAAATCTTAAAAAAAAAAAAAAAAAAAGTTTAGGTATGAAGTCATGTTGCAAGTATTAATTGCTAAATGACATATATAGTTGCTGGTAAGACAACAGAGGGTGGTGACATGCATCATTAGAAGATTAGACAAAGGAAGAACCAGACATGAAAAAAAACGGTAAAAGGTCAAAAAAAGAAAGAAAGAGCTCCTATTAATACATAAGACAGAAGAAAAAGAAGGTAACACAGTCTATTTTTATTCTTAAAGTATATTCTGTGGAATACCAGTGGAAAACTATTCCATATCCCATGCAACTTCTGAATGTTCTATGGATTAAACCCACTATAAATATCTGTTTACTTTATAAAAAAATTTTATAGGACGTTATCTCCAAATTATTCAATATATTGTTTTTTGTCTACTTAAAAGTATGTGTAATATCCAACTAAATTTCATTGAAAAGGGTGTCTTAGCAGTAATGTTTATACTAAAAAACAAAACACTCTGCGAATTTATAACAGCATTTTAAACAGATTTAGAACTAGAAATGTAATAATCTCAATAAATTTTGCTAATAATTCATGTAAATATTTCCTATTTACTTTATATATTGAAATTACGTAATTTTTGAGTTGACTATTGTTTTTCTTTTTTTTTTAGATTTTATTGGGGAATTGGGGGAAGGAGAACAGACAAGTTGTCGTCCTTTTGTTCTTCAGTCTAGTTGTGGAGGACATTGCTTCACTGGCCCAAGTTGGCACCATCATTGCGCTCTTCCCACGTGAGGCAGATCAGTCACCGGCCTCTGGACGGCCGCTCATGCTGGCTGCCGGCCACACACGGTAGCTCACGCCAACCCACTGCCACAGGGGCTGCAGCCTACGCCGTCACCAGTGACTCACGGCAGCCCAGCTCCAGGTCGAGCTGTTGTTCAGCATCTTAGCTGTAGAGGGCAGTGTCACTGGCCCCCATGTGGGATCCAAACCGGGGCCCTGCTGCTCAGAGATGGCGTCCCAAGCCAGCTCTTAACCAACGCGCCACTCGCCCGGCCCCTTGACTATTGTTTTTCAATATGACACTGACACTATCTCCAGACCACAAATATCTTCTACTAGTAACTACTAAAGACTGAATGCAAGCTTCAATAAGTGGTGGAATTTCAAGTTAGGAGATATGCTTTTTTATAATACTTTGTCACTATACCACCTCAAATCATAACATAGGAAACTATTTTGATAACAGTAAGAAGGCTCAGGTCAGTTAAAAAATGTTGTATTTCCTCATTTCTCCACTTCAACAGTATATAACTTGTTTAGGCTTTATTGTCAAATGAAGTTATTTCCACCTTTCTCTTATCATATTCAAATAAACAGGCTCTGATAGTACTTGTCCCCTGTAGTACGGCATGGTCCGTTCTTTCACCTTCCTATATTTCCTGAACAGTATGGTTTATCATCTTACTTCTTTTAAATGTAAACATTAATTAGAAGTACAACCATTTAATTACTTTATTATGTGTTCTAAATCAGTCATCCTAAAAGATGTACATGTTGAAACATTTGTTAAAGAACCATAATGTTTTAGCCAGTACTCTTGGGAGAAGATATTTTGAGAATTCAGATTTTTTTTTGGATTTCCAAGTATATTAAGTAACACTGCCAGTAGGTTCTGGACCAGCAACCTGTGATCAAACATACTAATATTTTTGCAGCAAAACATATGAATTCATCAACTGGGTAAACACTATCATTAGCTTTCTGTCAATTAAGATCAGGTTTTGCTGACAAGTTAAGTCTATGCCTAACTTAGGAAAAATGTATGATTTTAAAAGTTTTTATATTTCAGAAATACAATAAATGATTATGGAGTTTTACTTTAAAATCACTTTCACTTTATTTCTACTTTATAGCACATTCACACCCATTTATTTCTTAAACACTGCATGTATGGGCAGACTATATTAATTATGAATTTTATTTTTAGATAATAAGGAGGCATTTCCAAGAATTTGATCTAAAAAGAAGTGTTGAGGCCAAAAGAGTTGAAAACCAATATAATAACTGGATTAGCAACTAGAATAAAAAAAATGTTAGGCATCTTTGTAATTAATATAATCCAACCTCCTACTCAACGTAGAAAATCTTTTGTTAAATATTGTATAGTTATAGAAGTCCTTTGTTAGAAGAATTTTAGGGAAAATTTTTTCTCCCAAAGTCTCCACTGATTGCTTTTCACTGTTATACCCCTTTACTCCACTGTGAGTGTTCTAATTATTAGAAAATTCTTTCTTACACTGATCACAACTTTCTTATATCTCTCCAAATTTTCTACGGATTAGAACTAGTTCTGACCTCTGGAATCGTGCAAAACAAATCTACCACTTCTTCCACATGATAGCCCTTTAGATATTTGAATGCTGTTACTAAATGTCTTCAGTATCTTCATATACCAGGCCAAGACACTCCCATTGATCAGTCATTAATATTTCATGGTTTTCACACCCCTCATCACTCTGACATCTTCTCTGGACATACTAATTTGCCAGTGTGCTGCAATAAAATGTAACTAAAATTAATCTAGTCTTCCCAGAGCAGCATAGAGTATATAACTTCCACATCCCCTGGTGTAGAATTGAAATTATATGTGTACTAATGAAGTCTGGCTTGGTTTTTGAAGGAAGGAGTTTTGGTGGAGTTTAAACAAACTATAATCTTATAAACTATAAATTCAAACCACAATCTCACATAAAACGAAGTCTAGAAAATAGGGTGAACTTCAGGGCTGGGTGGTTCAGGAACAAACTAAAATCATGAGAGACCAAATTTTCTTATTGTTTTTTTCCTTTCTCACAGCTCTGCTATTCCTAATGTTGACCTCACATTAAGGCATATTTCTTTTACCACAATATCAAGCAATCTAGGTTCCCCCACTGTGCCTCTCTCCTATCACAAAATAAGAATTCTTTCCTTCAGTCTGAGTAAGCCCACATGGCCACATCTAAATTCATACTTTACTTAGTCCTGGTTCCTGAATCAACTGAATTGGCAAAGAGAACAAGATTATTATGACTAGATTACAGTAATAGGAGCCCAGCTGCTAATCTGGGGTCAAGGTTCTAAACCACAATGCAGCTACAAAATGAAAAGATAATGGAATGGATTCTGGGGATTTCATAGTAATTTACACTACACCTTTGACACGACACTTCACTTCTTCCAAGAACAATGCCACATTTTTGACAACTGCACAGGTCAAAACAAAACAGACTTTCCAACCTAGTAAACATTTTCTCTATTCACCTTTACATTTCAGGAGAATCTCATGTCATTTTCCACTCTCCTTTTAGACACTATTTAGTGAAGGTCTCCTGGTAGTCACCTATGCCAGCGGTTCTCAACCTTTCACAGGGGTCGCCTAAAACCATCGGAAAACACATATTTTCGATGGTCTTAGGAACCGAGACACCGCTCCTCTATCTGTCTCCAGGCCCACATGCAGATATACCCACATACGAGTACGCGGCGACCCCTGTACAAGAGTCGTTCCACCCCCAAAGGGGTCGCAACCCACAGGTTGAGAACCGCTGCTCTATGCTATACTAGTACAATTGATATTTTGTGACTAAAATCAAGTCTATGTTTATCCCTAGTACAAGTTTCTGCTTGATAATGA